GGACAGTAGAGGATAAGAGACAAAGGAAAGAGGAAGAGACGCGCAGGAGAGGGGAATGATAAATAAGAGAGGTGGGGCAGGTGGGAGAGCTGGGATGATTGGAGCCAGTAAAATGGCACATGCCAGGCGATGAGAGGGGAGGCTGTCAGGGGGGAAGGGAGAAAACAAATGAAAGAAGATCTAGCAGGTTCAAATGAAAGAGGAACCAGGAGAGAGGAAAGAACAAGGCAAGGACAAGAAATAGAACAGATATACAGGAAGAAAGAGGGACAGCAGAGGATCAGAGACAAAGGAAAGAGGAAGAGACGCGCAGGAGAGGGAAAGGATAAATAAGAGGGGCGGGGCAGGTGGGAGAGCTGGGATGATTGGAGCCACTAAGATGGCACATGCCAGGTGATGAGAGGGGAGGCTGTCAGGAAAAGGGAGAAAACAAATGAAAGATACAGCAGGTTCAAATGAAAGAGGAACCAGAAGAGAGGAAAGAACAAGGCAAGGAACAGAAATAGGACAGATATACCGGAAGAAAGAGGGACAGTAGAGGATCAGAGACAAAGGAAAAAGGAAGAGACGCGCAGGAGAGGGGAAGGATAAATAAGGGGGCGGGGCAGGTGGGAGAGCTGGGATGATTGGCACATGCCAGGTGATGAGAGGGGAGGCTGAAGGGAGAAAACAAATGAAAGAAGATATAGCAGGTTCAAATGAAAGAGGAACCAGAAGAGAGGAAAGAACAAGGCAAGGAAAAGAAATCGGACAGATATAAGAAAGAAAAAGGGACAGTAGAGGATAAGAGACAAAGGAAAGAGGAAGAGAAGCGCAGGAGAGGGGAAGTATATATAATAGGGGGCAGGTGAGAGCCGTGGGAAAATGACCGTGTTGCTGCCTTTTTGCAATTTTTCTGTGTTTTTCTATTTTTTGGATTTTGAACATATATTTTGCTGGTTTGCCATCTTAACTCCCGAGTTTTGATGTGCCATCAAACCGGTCGAAGGGAAAGGGCGCATTTTGAGCCTTTTGTAGCTTTTCCCAAGTTTTTTGATTTTTTGATTTGGGACATGTTTTCCCCCTGGTTTCTCTCTTATCTCTGGAGTTTGGATATGCCGTCAATTCGTAGGGGAGTATATACTACAATCTACTTTATCGTTAAAACATATCGCGGTGCCGGCATGAAGACAGCCGCTGAATCTGGAACACATTTGCGCCGCAAGCTGCTCTTAGTCCTCCCTCCTTTGCTCGCTTACGCTACATTATTTGCTACGGGCGGCTGCAGGAGTTGATGTCGGACCCCTAGCCGCTCTGAACCGCCCGCCTTTGTGAGTCAACCAACCATCAGTTTTGCCACGGCAAAAGTTGCGCTTGGAGGTGGGCGTGGAATTCTTCATTTTGCTGTCTGGGTTTTTGACGCACCACCTGTACATGGGCCAGGACCACGGCGCGACGTTACGTCATAACTTCTGCCATACATGTACGAAGGGAAAAGTCGTGTTTCATCAAGGACATCTCTGCTACCTGCGGATCACTTTTTGCATACTTTGTTCGTCGGGTTTTTCGATGCCTTTTAGTTTGGGTCCTTAGCTGAAGCTTTTTGTTTACATTCAACATCAATTAGCCCAGCGGCCCTGTACTGTTGGTTTAGGCCACCTACGTGGGCATGGTGCTTTGTGCGCTGACACAATGGTCGGGAACCATCACAGACGCAAACAAGTTTTCGCGAGCAATGACAGACACAGATACTTGTTTTTTCTTGGAGTCGAGGCTGGGTGGGTTTGACGTGTGTACCTTGAAGACGTTGAGGCCAAAGCAACTAACTGCTCACTCCACATCGTAAACTTGTTTGCTTTTGAGCTGCCAGTTGCTTCCTTCTCTCCAAGACCTGGGTTGACCCAACGCCAAATTGTGCCTTGGGCCTTACAGGATTGTTCGCAAAGACGCCGTTTGTTCCACCTGAGTGTGGGTTCAGGCCCGAATATGCCATCTTGGTTTGTCGTGTCATTGCTTCCATGCTGGAAACCTGGCTGCAGCTTGGAAGTTGATCCTTGTTCCCCGAACAGTTGGGGAAATTGTATGTAATAAATAGTTAAGGCTGGGTTTGATCGAGGGCGCTCACATCAGCAGATTTCGTGGCAGGCGGGCTTTGTGAGCCTTGCAATGCAAATTTCCGTGCCAGGCATGGAGATTTCGTGGAGGGCGTAAACCTCAAAGCGCAGATTTCGTGGCAGGCACAGCAGCCTCCTGCTGCTGCTACTGCTACGAGTCAACTGGGTTCAAGCGGGTCAACTGGGCCCACCACCACCACCACCACCACGACAACGACTGATACTACTGCTACTACTACTACTGCTGCTACTACGACGACTACTACTACTACGACTATTTAATTTCATAAATAAGGCGCGCTTTTGGCAGAAATATTTCATAAATATTCAGCAATGCGCATTGCATTCAACATCGCATGTAGAAGGTAGGGGGTAGCTTTTTGGTGGACCAAAGAATTGTGCTTCCAATGCTGGATGCAAAGTGCTATGGGAAGAGCAAACCCCAAGTAAAAGACTTGACCAGCTGCAAGCAGTGTTGGGGGACGCATGTTTGGTTCAAAAGTTTGCTGCACAACAACACCAGGCGTTGTATATTACGCTTCATAACTGGGACAAACATATAAAATAACATAAGTTCTGGGGTAGGGTTGCGGAACGCGATAGAGCCTTTTCCAAGAGGATATGACGGCATCGCGTCACCAGCCTTGCGAAAACGACACCAGCAGTTGGAACGTTTTCGTCCCAAACTCCACAAGCAGAAATTGCTATGTTTTTTGGAAAGACCTATAACTCCAAATCCGTGGGGCGCCTAATGGAACAAAAGTTACAGTTTTGCAACAAATCTTATAACTCGGAAAGTGTGTGATGTCCTTGTCGAAAATAGTTATTCCCGAGAGCGTCTGCGAAGGGTTCTTCGTAGAAAACATCTGCAGAACTACGTCTCATCTACATCTTCACTCCTCTGCACAACTACGTCTCATCTACATCTTCACATCTTCACACGCTCACATCTGCGCATCTACATGTTCACATCTTCACACCTGCACATCTACATGATCACTGCGCATCTACATTTTCTCATCTTCACATCTGCACATCTACATCTCTGCTCATCTTCACATCCTCACATCTGCACATCTCACATCTTCACCTCTGGCTCTTCTTTACTTTCTCTCTTAAGGCCGGGGGCAGTGCCACCGGAGCACCACGAAACGCAACCCTCTGCGGAGATCGTGCGTGTCGAGCGCGCGAAATGCAGGTGAGATTGCGTTTTGATTTGTCGCGGGCAACCCTCTGCGGAGATCGCGCGTGTCAAGGGCGCGAAATGCAGGTGAGATTGCGTTTTGGATTTGTCGCGGGCAACCCTCTGCGGAGATCGTGCGTGTCGAGGGCGCGAAATGCAGGTGAGATTGCGTTTTGGATTTGTC